TTTTTTTTTTTTTTTTTTTTTTTTTGGTTTTTCGAGACAGGGTTTCTCTATGGCTTTGGAGCCTGTCCTGGAACTAGCTCTTGTGGACCAGGCTGGCCTCGAACTCACAAAGATCTGCCTGCCTCTGCCTCCCGAGTGCTGGGATTAAAGGCGTGCGCCACCACTGCCCAGCCGAACCCACTTTTTATAGTAGGGCACCAAGCATTAGCTCTGAACAAAGGAATTTTTACGATCTTTCCCTGACCTGTGGGTCAGTCAAGGGAGACCCTCAAGAGTGGAGTGAGTTCTAGTAATACCAGAAGTTTAATAAATTAGAATTAACTGGTTCTTAGGCTGAGAACTTAGGAGTTAGCAGAAAGCTTTTTATACTATCTTAAGGTAAAACTCAGGTACTGACTGTCTGACATTACTAGCAGTCCCTTTTCTGACTAATTGCTAAAGATATCTGCTTTCTTGCAATTAGTGAATTTTGCTGTAATCTCCTCTGAAACATATTTCATGATAGCTGCCTAGTTACCCACGGACATTAGGACTTACTCTAGAGAGCTTGGGGCTCTCTGTTCACTCAGCTATGTTGGCCGCTTGGAGAGTCCGAGTTTGCAAACTTGTGTAGAATGAAGGCTCTTTGCTTTTACATACAGGATTTGGTCTCCTAGTTGGTTCTGGGGGGACTCCGTGATCTGGGCATAACAGGAGAATTTTCCATTTTTGATTTTGGGATTGGGGGCTCAGTTTGTATTTAGACAATGATAGGATAAATAGCCCTACCCAAATGTCTCTAAGCCTCAAGAAAATCGATTCTTTGTCTCTTTTGCTAATCACTGCTTCACAGTACCCAGAAATGCCAGCCACACACATTTTGCCAATATTAAAAAACAAAGAAAATGGATAGCTTATTCCCAACCAAACGTGAGTTACTATGGCACAGGAGTATGGATTCATATTGCCCTCACTAACATGGATGTAGAAAGAGTTTCATGACGTTTTTATAGTTGCAGAACAAAAGAAAGTCATAAATCCAAGCATTTACCAGGCAAATTGTAATGGCGGGATCACCAGGTAAGCAGGTGGCAGCTGAGAGGAGAGCTCTGTGCTCTTCTAGGGTCGCAGATGGCTGTCTGGTGACAGTCTTACCTTTTGGCTTGAGGAAGCAGAGTTTAGTGCATTCCAAAAGGTTTTACCTGGTAGTTATAAGGGTGTTGTGAAGGAGACTCAAGAAAGCCCAAGATGATTTCTTTCTGGTTTTCCAACATTCCAGCTCTCCACAATGATGAAATTCTGATTGGTATTATTTGGTCGGAAGCGTCACCTCAGCCCCCTGGCACCCTTGATACAAAAAGTCTGGATTGTTTGCCTGGGGGCTTCACCCCAGCTCCTGGCATAAGTCCCCTCCCCTGGGTGTTGCCTCAGTCCAAACTCCACCTCCAAGAAAGCCTGCCAAACGGTGACTCCTCCCCAGGGAGGGCCAGGAAAGCCCACCAAATGGTAACCCCTCTCCAAGGAAGGTCGGGACTACTCCCACAGGCTACTTAAATTGCCCCCCAGAGAACGTACACATGGTCTCCGGGTTCCCCGTGGTCTCCCCTTTTTCTCTCCAGTAGTTGTTTCGGCTTTCCTCCCCCGTCTCCATGTTTTCCTGGGACCACCCGGGAGCACAGGCACCCAATTAAACCTGGGTATCTCTTAATTCAGTCTGATTTGGTCTGATTGGGATTATTTGCATCTGCAGAGAGGTTTGTTGGCAAGAAAATACTTAACAGGCCTTGTAGTCTCCTTAACCTATCTGGGCCTTTCTTCTGAGCACTTCAGTTCACAGAGCTAAAATGCCAAGTGCGTGCCCTTTTCTCCACGGGAAATTACAGACTTCATATTTGCACGACACCAGGCCTGGAAAAGAAAAGAAATTCAGCCTCATAAACCAGTCCAAACTGGTTCCTGCCCACCAATGCTCCCCGGATCCCCAGTGAGAGGAATCATTCCTTCTACTTGCCCTCTGCACACACACAGCTGGACACCATCTTTGGTGTGCCACTCTTTCCACTTTTCCTCTGCAGAAGACTAGAAATCGTTGGTAGGCTGATGTCAAGTTTCTCAGTATCAGCTGCTGTGGACCAGAGCGGGCATCCATCCTAACGGGTTACCCCATGACAACAGCCCTAGTCACCAGCAAGCTGCACCTGTTGAGAGACCTTCAGCAACAGTCACCCAGTCAAACCAGGGGAAACTGGAAAGCTAAGTAAGTATTACTCTTTGGATGAAGGAACCAAGTTTGGGGAAAGTTTGGGAAGACTTCATTTCCCAGCAATGGGTAAAGAGCAAGAAAGGCTCAAGGTGTAGCTTATCAGTAGAGCACTTTGTCTGGCGGTGGTGCACACCTTTAGTCCCAGCACTTGGGAGGCAGAGGTAGGTGGATCTCTGTGAGTTCAAGGTCAGCCTGGTCTACAAGAGCTAGTTCCAGGACAGGCTCCAAAGCTACAGAGAAAACCCTATCTTGAAAAAAAAAAAGAAAAAGAAAAAGAAAAAGCCTTGACTTCTCTCAGAGAGAAGGGACAGCCAGACAGCAGGGATGGGAATGAGTCTCCTTTAAACATTGTTGAAATGCAAACACAGGAATATTTCTGTCAAGTGACAAAGCCTAGACCAATGACCTTGGATAGACAGCGTCATTTTTCTGAGCTTCCCTCCCTGAAAGCTGGTTACTAATGAAGGAGCTGTGTAGAATGGGGTTGACTTGCATTGAGGTGGTCAGGCAAGGGTCTAGGCAAGTAGTCTTCATATTTGCTGACTGTCTTGCCCACCAGGGAGGAAATCGGGGTTTCTGATTTTCTGGAGGCAGAGGGGGAGATGGTGGCAGGGGGAGAACCATCAAAGGCCCAAGCCAACTCACCGATTAAGGGAGTCACTTTGGTTTTATTTATTTATTTTTTAGATTTACTTTTCTTTTTTGTTTTGTTTTTGGTTTTGGAGACAGGATTTCTCTGTGGCTTTGGAGCCTGTCCTGGAACTAGCTCTTGTAGACCAGGCTGGCCTTGAACTCACAGAGATCCACCTGTCTCTGCCTCCCAAGTGCTGGGATTAAAGGTGTGCGCTACCACCGCCCAGCCTAGATTTACTTATTTTATTGTATGTATATGAGTGTTTTGCTTGCATGCATTTATGTGTACCACATGCATAGCTGATGCT